CTCTTTAGTCTTTTTGGCTCCGGTAACAATTGTAGTATTGTAATCTTGTAAAATTCAGTGGCGAGGTAACTACTATTTCATTTCCTTCAATGTTTCTTACAAAATATATTTCTGCTATTGAAGCATCTACCTCATTGACTATTATGCTGTTCATTAGAATTATGCAAAGTGGTGTATATTCCTGCCATCTCATTCCCTCCTTCCCCAGAAAAACCTATTTTTGTGTCTCATATACTTATTTCTTCCCATGACAGTAATGTTGCCGGATTCATCTATGTCACAGACGTTGACATGCATAGGTGTGAACTCGAACTCTCCTCATTAGACAGTCAATTTTGCTATTCTGAGTGCGAGTAAGATCTTTACGTTTGATTATCTCTCATTTTCAGGAAAAAGATAACATATCTTGCACCATGTGCTGGGGAACTTCCGAGCAAATACCTAATCATGGGAACCTTAACATGGATTGAAAACTGAATTATACTAATGCAGTAGCCGCTAGCCAGTGGTTTTTTTCGGCCTCTGAGCTTTGTGCTTTCCGTAGAGGGTGGGACGACATGGAAGCACCCACTAAGCTTTTGGTGGTGTAGAAATGCAATAGGCTTTTCTGTGATGACTGTATAATACTACGACTGTACCATAGGTATGAGGCTTTATGGAGAAAATTCGAATGTACAAATAACATTAGCTCCTTCATCTTTTTTATCGGCAAATGATAAGTTAAATGGTCTCTTTGCATCACTGACATTTTGATATCTCCAAGCTTCTGAGGAAGTATGAATGCTATTTCTCTTTTTCAACTAGTACTTACTCGTATCCGGCCTTTTCCAAGTGGAAAAAATTGGGGAGATAGGTTTTTATACGGCCTTTTCCAAGTGGAACAAATTGGGGAGATTGGTTTTTGGTTCGTGAATTCTGCTCGACAACGAAGCAGATGTATCAACAGATAAGACATGTTGAGGCAACTACAGGAAGCCGTGTCACGACCCGGATTTTCCCACCCTCGGGAGTCGTGATGGCGCCTACTCGTAGAAGCTAGGCAAGCCACGATCTTAGAAATCATTAACTCTTTTTGTTTTTAATTCCTTTTTAACCAATTAAATTAACCGGAAATAAACAATTAAATAAAACGGAATATGAAATTTAGCGGAAGTCTTAAATAAAATATAAAACCAAGATATCCTGAAGACCAACACATGCCTCTAACCAGAACCTGGTGTCACAACATTCACGGACTGTCTAGGATTACTACAAATAAGTGTTTGAAAGAAAAGAACATAGTCTGTCTCGAGTACAAATGACAACAGAACATAAAAATTGATGGAAGAGACGCCGGGCCTGTGGACGCCAGCAGGGCTACCTCGGAGTCTCGGACTGAAGGATAGCTCCCAATCTACTGCTGATGACCAAATGCTACTCCGGGATCTGCACACAGTACAGAGTGTAATATCAACACAACCAACCCCATGTGCTGGTAAGTGCTTAGCCTAACCTCGGCGAAGTAGTGACGAGGCTAGACCAGACTACCACATAAACCTGTGCAGTTATATATATACAGCGGAACGGAGGTACAGAGATAACCAATCAATATGGGAGGGGGAGCATGCTGTGGGGAAAGATAACAACTCCGAGTAAAAGTCATCAAGTAACGAAAGAAGCAAACATAACTCAGAAATCAATAAAGAATCATAAATCAATAAATGCACGGCATCACCCTTCGTGCTTTTACTCTCGTCCTCACCAAGCAATGATATAATAAAAACGTGCACGGCATCACCCTTCGTGCTTTTACTCTCTTTCCTTACCAAAACAATTATATGATAAAATGTGCACAACATCACCCTTCGTGCTTTTACTCTCTTTCCTCACATAAAATCAATAGAGTCGGCACGGAATGGTAAATCGTGCGGCACGACATCACCCTTCGTGCTTTACACTCTTTCCTCACAATAACAAACAATGCACGACATCACCCTTCGTGCTTTAACACTCTTCCTCACCCAAACAACAATCACAAACAAGGGGCAAGGGAATAAACAAAATAATAATAGAAATCCCGGCAAGGGAACACAATTAACCAATTAAATCCTGGCAAGGGTACAACATTAACAATCTCAACATCCCGGCAAGGGAGATAATCCACAAAGCAACAATATCCCGGCAAGGGAACAGTTTAATAACTCTTTCTCTTTCTTTCACTTTTATTTCATAACTCACTTTACCACTTGAGCCAATGCTCCAAAGGGTTCAATCATCTCATATACTTTCACAATTCGTAATATAACTCAAGCCAATGCTCCATGATGTTCAAAGGTCTCAATTCCTTCCACAAACTTTTCACAACAACTAGAAGTCATCACCAAAGCATGAAGAATACAATGAAATCAAGATATTCACAATATAAGGACTCACGGTCATGCTAGACACCAACGTATAGATACTCGTCACTATGCCTATACGTCGTACACGACTAATACCACATAGCGAATAGGACTCAACTCCTAGTTCCTCAAGCTAAGGTTAGACCAAACACTTACCTCGATGCCTTGAACACAACTCAAGTCTCAATTATAACTTTACCCCTTGATTCCACCGTCAATTCGCTCGTATCTAATCACAAATTACTTAATTACATCAATAAACGCTAAATGAATCAACCCCAATGCATGAAAATGAGTTTTCCAAAGTTTTACCCAAAAAGTCAAAAATCACCCCCGGGCCCACGTGGTCAAAACCCGAGGTTCGAACCAAAACCCGATTACCCATTCCCCCACGAACTCAAATATATAATTTGTTTTGAAATCGGACCTCAAATTGAGGTCCAAATCCCCAATTTTGAAAAACCTAGGTTCTACCCAAAACACCCAATTTCACCCATGAAAATCTTTGATTTTAGATTGAAATCATGTTAAAAGATGTTAATGATTGAAGGAAATGAGTAAAAACTAACTTACAATCGATTTGGAAGAAGACTTGTTCTTGGAAAATCGCCCAAAGGAGTTTGTGTTTTGAAAAGATGTTAAAAATGGTTCAAAATCGGCTAAGTATAAAAAATGCAGGTCTCAGTTTTGCGAACCCCGACCTGCTGATGTGGGAATTGCGAAAATAATATTCGCATTTGCGAACACTGACGAAGTCCAGGACTTTCACATTTGCGAAACTTGCATCGCATTTGCGATAAGTCAGCCTCCCAGCCATCATCGCATTTGCGATGATGAAGTCGCATTTGCGACTAAGGCTGCCAGTCCTCATATTCGCATTTGCGATTAAATTTGTCGCATTTGCGGGCTCGCAATTGCGAGCTTGGCTTCGCAAATGCGAAGCCTGCAGGTCAGTTCATACCAGCAAATTTTAAGTTCAAAAATGCACCCCGTGGCCTATCCAAAACTCACCCGAGCCCTCGGGGCTCCAAACCAAATATACACACAATCTCAAAAATATCCTACAGACTTATTCGTGCAATCAAATTGCCAAAATAACATCATAAACATCGAATTAAACCTCAAAATCCATAAATTCTTTCAAACTTCATAAAACATCAAATTTTCCAATTTAGGTCCGAATCACGTCAAACGACGTCCGTTTTTTTTACCAAATTTCGCAGAAACATCTTAAATCTTATATAAGACCTGTACCGGGCGCCGGAACCAAAATACGGGCCCGATACTAACATGTTCTAATCAAATTTCATTTCAAATTTCCTTAACCAATTTCACTTAAAAATTCATTTCTCGGGCTTGGGACCTCGGAATTTGATTCCGAGCATACGCCCAAGTCCCATATTTTTCTACGGATCCTCCGGGACCGTCAAATTATGGGTCCGGATCCGTTTACCCAAAACATTGACCAAAGTCAAATTAATTCATTTTATAGTCAAAACTTATTATTTTCACACTGTTTCTCATTTAAGCTTTCCGGCTACGCGCCCGGACTGCGCACGCAAATCTAGGTGACTCTAAATGAGGTTTTCAAGGCCTCAGAGTCATAGAATTCAATTAAAAACAGGTGATGACCCTTTGGGTCGTCACAAGCAGCCTAAAGAAACTATAACAAATAAGACACGACATAAAGTCTATGCCTATTGCTGCAGTGCAAAGACTTAGCTGGTGCATAGCAATATAAGCTGAGTGTATTATAAACACTGGGCGGAAGTGTTGCACAGTACACCCTGAAGTACAATTAGCGAGCGGCACATAGAATTTGCAGACGACTTGAATACGCGACAAGTTATTTCAAGAGGCACAATAGCTTTGCTGCTATAATCCACTGAGATTTCAACTTATTATATAAAGTATCCCTTTTTTATTTTCAAACATATATACAAATTTTAGGTTCTAGATCCACCATGTTTGGATTATTTGTTCTTGTGAAGGTATATGGGTGTAAAATCACAACAACAATAATATTGATTCTTCAATCTCAAGCAGTTTGTCGTTTGCATATGAATTTTCACCATCTTTTTCATAGTATAAGGAGTGGAAATATTTAATTTTAGAATACAAGAGAGATGTATGCGAAGTTGATTATATTATAGAGGTGTTGGTGGGAAGAAATAATAAGAAGATATTGGAATATAAATTTGGAGACGCGGTATAATTTTCCAATGAAGGGGTGTCAATTGACTCCCCTTGCCAATAAGTGGTTCTGCCACTGCATGATACTAGAAAATGAAATCCTAAAATAACGCCTTATATTTCTACAATGTGTAAGGGTATTTATATTACAAATCTAAAATGATCATTTTTTATCTGAAGTTTGTGAGTATAATTAACCGTGCCACATAAAATAGGACAATGGAAAAAGTGGAACAGTAATTCAAGATCATTTTTTTCTTTTTGTGAAAAAGGGCCAAAAAGTTTTTTCAAAGTATATATTGATGAACAAAGAGAGACGTTACTCTGTTTAAAACCCTTCACAGTTATCAAATAAGCAGTTTTTGGCGGTTTGACTAAAAGAGCTCTATTTTAGCTTATAGTAACTGATAAATACTCTTATTATTTGGCAAACGCATAAATAAATTAAAAAAGTTGTTATAGCCAAACACCCTCTAAACATTTTATTATCCCAAAAAAACAAAACAGAGAAATGGAGTCAAAATCAAGAGCCGTTTCTTCATCATCATCATCTTCCAAAGCAAAGATGATAATCAGTTTCACAATATTGTCAAAGGATATTGCAATGGACATTTTCTCAAGGCTACCCACAAATTCATTGGGTAAATTAAGGTGCGTTTGTAAAGAATGGAAAACCCTAATTTCTGACCCGGAATTCAAATCCCTTCACAGAGCACGTTCTTCTCAAAAACCCAACATTATCTTTGTCCACAGTCGTAGCGCAACTGCAAATAAATGTTCCTGCAGTACTACTACTAGATTGCGTATGTCACCAAAAATTGATTGCACTACTAGAGTATGTATGTCGTCAGTTGATTTTGAAGGGAATCCTAATTTTGACTTTACTTTGACTTTCGATGGTTGGGTCAATTTGTTGCCTTCTAAAGGGGAGTTAATTTGTTTTGTTGGTACGGAAGGGTTTTCTGTATGTAATCCAAGTACTCGAGAATTGGTTAAGTTAGCTTGTTGTACTAGTATTCCTCCTACTTGTGACGGTAGTGCTTTTGGATATATAAAGGAGAGGAATGAGTATATTTTGGTTAATGCTCGTGGTATTGATAATGATACGGGGTGTGAGGTTATGAGATGGACTGATGGTTGTTGTTTGAAAGATCGTTCTTGGAAGGTTGTTAGTGCAAAATGCCCGTATTATCTTCGCAGTTGGGGGGTTTTGGTTGACGCTATGTTTTATTGGATTGGATGTAGGGACAAGAATAATGATTTCAAGATTGATGCAATCGTCTCGTTTGATTTGGGGAAAGAGGAGTTTAGTACGGTGGTGCTACCAGAAGGTCGTTTTCATCCCGAGAGAGTTTTGTTATTGATGAAAATGAAGGAGATGCTGTGTTTGGTTTATTTATCTGAGGACAACTCTACCATGGATATTTGGATGTTGAAAGATTCCAAGAATTATATGTGGGTTAAGGAGTACAGAATTGATCTGGGAATTTTTGATCTCAGCAAGCGATTTATTACTCCAATGGATCACAGGGAAGGGAAAATTCTTTTGAATGTAAAGTCTGAAAGTTGTCTTGAGTGGTATGATGTAGAGAACAAGTGCTTCATGAGAATAAACAATCTAAAATCCCGCCGATGGATCTGGTGTGGACTTTGCACTGATGGCTTGTTTTCCTTGGGAAGTTGATAGGCAGCAATAATATTTCTGTATGTTAGGTTTGGGCTTTCGTCCTGCTGTTTATTGTTGTTTCGTCATTCGTAATGCTTAGGATTTCACCTTTTGCTTAGAGTAAATTAGTTAAGCTTTTTGAAAGCTGACCAAACAATGCTCTATGATATTGCAGGGTTATCTTGTGGTCTTTGCAATGTATTTAGTTGAACTATTACATTTTAAATGTTGTTTTGGAATTACATTCATGTTAGAAGTGTTTCATGTTCATTATTCTTATTGTGTTATGTCAAGACCATGTCACATTATGTTTGTTGTCAGTTAGTCCGGATGTCATACAAATTGACATCTCAATTTTAGTTAACTACATCCAGACTTTGAATATTGAATGCATCAATAGGTAGATGAAGTGCCTGGATAGTGGGTGGATAAATATTGAAGTTGTTTCCTTAATAAACTACTAACATGGAAATAAGCTGCCTCTGATGATAATGCTCTCTGATTTTGAATTATTGATCCTTTATTTTATCTTTTGGTTGTTGACATTGATTGCTTCTAAAGTTGAGCAAGAAGAGTTCACTTGTTTTGGTTTGGACAACAGTGGGGAGTGTTGTTGACTAGTCATTGCTTACACTCAAGCTGTTGGTAAGGCTGGAATTCATGGTCCTGCATATAAACAATCAAGGATGTGACTATGTGAGGTAAGGTATCATATGTTGCTAAGTAGGGGTGTTCATAAAAACCTGAAAAACCGAACCAAACCGAAAACCAAACCAAACCGACCAAAAAAATTGTCACGACCCCAAATCCCGGTCGTGATGGCGCCCAACACTAATGCCAGGCAAGCCCGACCAATTTAAATACTCTCAACCCAAATACGCAATCCGTTAACAAATAATACGATTAAAATAGCAAATATCAAGGTTCCAATCCGAAACTAAATAAAATAGTATGGAAAATAATAACGAATATCCCAACATTTCCCAATAGATCTGGAGTCACGAGTCTAGAGCCTCTAGATGTAACAGAGTAATATATCCATGGTAATAAAGAAGTCTAGGATATGGAAAGACAAATGAAATAAAGGGGAGGAGTCGGGTCCTGCGGACGTCAGGCAGCTACCTCAACAACTCCTGAAAATAACTTCACGAAAAAACAGCAAACAGCTCCACTAAGTCTCCGGAGCACCTGAATCTGCACACATGGTGCAGGGAGTAAAGTGAGTACTTCCAACTCAGTGAGTAATAAACATATATAATGACTGAAAGTAAGAAATCCCGGAACATGACAATCTAAAACTATAATCAACGATTCAGCACGTTTAACGACGAAACAACAGCAAGCAATGACAATTTCAGACAAACAGATATAAAATGCATGAATGCAATGCAATGCACATGACCGCTGCAACGCGCAGCCCGATCCATTTGGGTACCCGCGCTCACTGTGGGGGTTCAGACTCCGGAGGGGCTCCTACAGCCCAAGCGCAATATCATCGTAGCATTCACTGCGGCGTGCAGCCCGATCCACACTCAGTCCAGATATATATATGCATGCAAGCCACTCGGGCACAATCAAATTGTCCATTTTTAGTTTCAATTATTAGGAATCATAGAGCTAAGTGTGTAACCTTTATTTATTTACAAACATTTCAAGGCAGTGTCTAACTCAGGACTGATATCATGAAATATGCTAAGTATCATGGGAACAGTGATAAGGATCCCTGAAGGATGCAAATGATAGGCACAAGGCCCCAAACATATTCATAAAACCCAAGTAAGATGATTACTACCAATTTCTAGTCAACAACACAGTACGAACATCAATCAGAACGGACTAGGTCAAATCCCCAGTCACAATCGACCCCGCACTCGTCATAGAGTACGTGTCTCGCCTCAATATAGCGTCATAATGTGATATACCGGGGTTTCAAACCCTCAGGTCATCATCTACATCTATTACTCACCTCAAGCCGGCCACAAGTCTAGCTCGCTATGCCTTTGCCTTTCGAAGCAACCTCTTCGCGCGCCGAATCTGATTAAAACCACAACGAATTCATTACAATAGGCTAAAGAAACATAACCCAATCGAAAAGACTCGAAAAACACCAAACTTTACGAAGTTGGCAAAACCCGAGCCCCGGGCCCGCTTCTCGAAAAATTACGAAATTTACATCACCGGACTCCCCGTCTCGCCACGAGTCTGTACATATCAAATTTACCAAAATCGGGGTTCAAATGCCCTTTCAAAATCCGTATTTAGATCTTAGCTTTTCAAGCCCTAGCTTAACCCATTTTTAGCATTTGATCCCTTGAATTTCAGTGATAAATCCATGTTTTTACACCATAATAACATAATCCGAGTCCCATAATTCATACCTGATGAAACCCCTTCGAATTCTCTTCAAAATCGCCCAAGAAACCGCCTAAGTCGAAGTCCAAAATAGTTTTCCTTCTCTTTCAAATTCGTGAACACTGTTCACTTTAATTCCAGGTCGATTTCCGCTCCTGCGGTTAAATTACCGCACCTGCGGTCACCGCATCCGCGACCAAATGATCGCTTCTGCGATCTCACTTAAATCCCCAGGGACCGCTTCTGCGGTCTTAAACCGCACCTGCGGTTGCCGCTTGTGCGGACCCTTGTCCGCTTTTGCGGAAGAGTTCCAAGCCTCCCAGAACCGCTTTTGCGACCCCTTAGCCGCATCTGCGGAACCGCTTATGCGGTCCCTTTTCCGCAGATGCGGAAATGACAGAACCAGCAACTTCAAACCTGCAACAAAACTCCGAATTCTCCGTTTAACCACCCGAATTCACCCCGAGGCCCCCGGGACCTCAACTAAAAACACCAATACATCCTAAAACCTCATTCAAACTTGTTCCCATCATCAAAACACATCAAACAACGCTAAAACCATCAAATCACATCGGATTCAAGCCTAAGTTTCTTAAAAACCTCCGAATTGCACATTCGATCAAAAACCCGACCTACACACCTCCGAATGACCTGAAACTTTGCACACATACCCAAAATCACCTAACGGAGCTACTGCAACTCTCGGAATTCCATTCCGACCCTCGGATCAAAATCTCACCTATCCACCGAAATTCGCCAAAATGCCAACTTTGCCAATTCAAGCCTAATTCTACTCCGGACCTCCAAAATCACTTTCTATCGCACTCCTAAGTCACAAATCACCTCCCGAAGCAAACCGAATCACCGGAATTCACATACGAGCCTTCTAACTAATAAGTCAACGTTCGGTTGACTTTTCCAAACCAAACCTTCCTTAAAGAGACTAAGTGTCTCATTTCCTATCCAAACCAATTCAATTCAACTCTAACTCACCCATAGCTGATAATAAAACATGAAAGAGCAATAAATGGGGGAAACGGGGCTGTAATACATGAGACGACGGGTTGGGTCGTCACAAAAACCGATACTTTTTTATTTGGTTTGGTTTTGGTTTTGAATTTTAAAAACCGATCAAATTTGGTTTGGTTTTGGTTTTAATCAGAAAAAAATCGAACCAAACCGACTATATGAGTAGCTATTCAAATTTGTTATTACATCTATATATATGTATATTGTTATACAAAGTTTCAAAAAATTTATGGTAAATGTTAATAGTTTGCACTTTTAATATAGTTCTTTACCTTAACATTCTAGTTTGATTGGTAGTTTTCTTTTGTTTAGTGTAAGAATCCATTTCGTGTTAAAAATAATATATTTTTAATTGAGTCCTTAAATTATTCATCACTATTTGATTCAATTATCATCAATATATCTTGGTAAATAATAGATTTCTCAAAGGGCAATTGATTTGATAGTGTTACATTGAAAATGTATATGTGTTTGGTAGCATATGTCTTATATTTAAGAAAAAACCGACAAATAATCGAAAAAACCGACATAAACCGAATCGAGAAAAACCGACTTAATTGGTTTGGTTTGGTTCTAATATTTGAAAAACCGACTTACTTGGTTTGGTTTCTTTTTAGGGAAAAACCGATCCAAACCGAACCATGAACACCCCTCTAAGTGATGGTTATGAAAATGAAACGTATCGAGTGAATTAAGGTATCGCGGACATATAGGCTAATCGGGCGCCTTAGCATCTTCCATAGACAGTATACCTCTCATCTGCAGTTTGTGTAGTTTTCTTTAAGGCATGATAACTAGTTTAGAATCAGTTTTTCCAATTATCAGTATGTTTATTCCATATCTGTAGCTTCCCTACATTTGGAACACCTACAAGCATATTTTCCTGTTACAATATTTTCGTGCCTAATGTTTCTCATCACTTCCTCATTTTGCAAATCAACTACTTTTATTGCCACCACAATTTCACTAGATAATGTGCCTTTTTGTACACAGAGTCAGAACCTCCCACATCAGTTAAATTTGATTCATCAAAATTATTTGTTGCTCGTGAATCTCGTGATAAGTCCTGATTGATGTCATTAAATTCGGATTTTGCCTTGGCGTAATTGGCAAAAGTTGTTGCCATGTGACCTAGAGATCACGGGTTCAAGCCATGAAAGTAGCTTCTTGCAGAAATGCAGGATAAGGCTGCGTACTACAGACCCTTGTGGTCCGGCCCTTCCCCGGATCCTGCGCATAGCGGGGGCTTAGTGCGCCTGGCTGCCCTTTTTTAAATTCGGATTTACTTTAGTAGTATTGACTTATTAATTTATATTGCATGCCATTCATTTTTCAGTTAGAATTTATAAACTATTTTTTCATAAAATATTTGAGTTATATTATAGCATTATATTTATAAATATTAATTTCTCTATCAAGCATGCAGTCCATGACGTTCTTATAAAATATGTACTTTTAGTTTTTACAATTAAAGTAAAATATTATTAATTTAAAAAATATACTATGTCATTTATTTTTATAATATTAGTTACAAATAAATGATATATATATATATATATATATATCTTAGCTGCCAAATTTAATATTATTTATAAAGGCATATATTTGTTAAATCTTAACTTTTAATTTTTGATAATTAACTTTATATTTAAAATTTAATCTAACGGTTTAATTGCACTTGTGCAACTAAACAATATACTTATAGTTACATTGTAATTACAATCAATGACGTAGGGATTTTTTTTAACAAGTGTCAATATTGTAAGAAATGAACAAAAGAATAAATCACTATAATGATAAGCAATGTCATTTTCTATATTTATACCAATAATTTCATATGTATATTTAGTAAAATTTTGGACCAAGCGATGGAAAACGGTGTCTCTGCCCTT